CATATATACAAGCTTAAATAGTGCATGTATTTAAATGCTATGCCTACCTCAAGAGGTCCCATGTTACCAAGACGAACTGAACTTGCTATGATTGTCCGCAGAGAACTGAAGAGGAATGCACTGAGAGCTTCCTCCAGGCTTATGTGGAGGTATGAGCACAAACAACCAAACATCACAGCCTGATGACCTTTCAACTTCTCGGATTGAATATGTTTCTGAAATGTTAAATCAAATATATAACAAAGAAATGATTAAAATATGTTAATATTCATGAAACATTACAGTATATTAAACACACCAATTTAGCAATTGTGGCAAAGACAAGTCAAACCAGTCACCCATCTCAAAAATCGATTTTTACTTTTATTTATTAATACAAAGTTAAACAGTAATATGAGATATAAAATGGTAAAAGAATCATTTAAATCCATATTTTGTTAGGAAGTTAGAAGCATTTAAACATACAGCTGTTTAAAGAACAATATTTGAGAAATCGGCCTTCAGAGTTTATGATTTTGGGCATTTCTCAGGCAGCACCCATCACCAAATTGTTAAAAATTGTTTTAACATTGAAAACGGGAAAATAACAGCATATCATGATGTATACAGTATGTAAACGTTAGTTTAGTGCAATAAAATAGATTTCAAAAAATTTGAAATGTTTTGACCAGTGACTGGTTTGGCTTGTCTTTGCCACAATTAGAGATAGTAAAACATATTATTATTGGTTTTTGGTTTAGAGTTATTCAGGGGAATTTTTAAAATGTACAAAATCAATACCTTCAATGTTAATAACCTTTCATCACTGAAAGTTTCACTAGCCGTTGCTATCAGTGACTTTCCCTGAAAAAAACAGTGACAGAATTTTCTTCAATACTGCATTTAAATACCAATCATACATACAGTAGAAACCCTCCTTTGGGACACCCCTATTCAGGGGACATCCTATTAAGGGGACACTTTTCTGTGAAACGAGGGGCAATATATCTTTTAACACTAGGGGACACCCCTATTAAGGGGATGGGGTCACTTTCTGTTGGTGCCAAATGGTCAAATAACCCCTGTTACTAGGACACTTAATTTTTTATCATTGTTTGATAACTACAGCAGCGTCAAAGTAAGGGAAATTCATTCAACTATTTTAACACCTTTTGAGCAATACAACATGAATTTTCTCCCCTGAATACTATAGGCTTACTGCTTGTGTTACTTCATAAAAAATCTTGTCAATTTTGACCCTTAACCATGGTTTTGTTTCCTTTACATTCATATAGGATCCTAATCCACACTAATAAGATGTACCCTTAAATCTAAGTCGTTACTCTATTCATACAATGTTCATCCAATAGAAAGCTCAATATCTAAAAAAAACATTGCATCATGAAATAATATTGGGAAAATTTTTTTATGATTATTTTTATAATATTTATACGGCGCCTTTTCTTTGTAGATACAAAGTGCTTCATTTTCCCTGGCCATGGGTCCACATGCTTTAGTGTTGCTGCTAGTAAACATCGTAGGAGTAGGCAACACCACCAGTTACCCATTTATACTCCTGGGTGGAGAGAAGCAATTCAGATAAAGTGCCTTGCTCAAGGACACAAGGGAAATGTACAGCGAGGGATTGAAACCCCGACCTCGAGGTTGGGAAACCAAACCGTTCCCGCTGCATCAAACCGCAGCATATAAAACTACTGTTGTTTAAATTACATTTGTGCTGATTTCATATTATAAATGAATTATATTTGCATTGCAAATTGTTGCTATAAATTAATTTTCTTATTTTAATTAACTGATTCTTATGTCAATAAAAATAAAATTATACAGAAATAATGTCATCGTTGTACGAAAACAAGCTAAAAAGGGGACAATTTCGCCTTTTTGGTTAATGTCCCCTGAATAGGGTATCCCTATTCAGGGGACACCCCTATTAAGGGGACACTATTTTTTGGTCCCGAAGGTGTCTCCTAAGGTTCTATCCATTTAATATAAAGAAAAAAGTATTTAGTCACCAGAGGGCAGCATACCAATTTACTTTATGTAAGGGAAGTAAAATGATGAACATCTTTGTTCACTGCCTGGTCTGTGAAGCATGAAGGCAATGGTTGCATGGCAGAATGTTTTATATTTAATCTAAAGGTCTGCTCTGTAGTATATCTGTATTGTAGCAAGAGTAGGTATACTCTTTTTATGGAGCAGAAAAGGCTGCCTGCTTTTTTTATGTACATCAAAAACTAAAACTAAACATTATTATTCAGGGGCGGATTTAGGGGGGGGGGCGGCCCGGCCCCGGCCCCCCCCCTTTTGGGAGGGAAAAAAAAAGAAATAAAGAGAGAAAAAGAAAAAAATGATAGCCCAGAATGCCTCAAATGTTATGTTCGGGCGTCTAGAAC